TCCTTGCCCTTCGAAGTCAGGTTGGGGAGCATCCAGAGTGCTACCTGGGAGGTGAAGCTTTTACATCCTATGGATAGAGACACTGAAATAGCAGCTTCAGGCAGGAGAAAGATCTGGCTGGTTAGCTCAACCGAGTTGGTGGGTGGGAGGCAGAACCTTGGTACCTTAGTCCTTCTTTCCAGTTTTTGTTTTAAAAGTCTGCAGATAATGTGATATGTAGCCACTCCTTGGAGGCATCTTCTAGGAGTGGCCAGTTAGAAAGAAAGACAGCTGGAGAGACTTCTTTTAGGCTTCTGGTATGTTTGTAGTATTTTTCTGGGAATGTTTAGGATTATCAAAACATTTAGAGTGACAGGATATGGGATGAGAAAGTTGGGGGGAGGGAGGGGAAGAAAAAGGAGGACTCTCAGCCCTTTGAAGCGTGGTGCTCTGTCTGCATTATATCTTGCTATGGTACTGTGTGGGCAGGAATTGGCAATTTGCAACTCCAGGCAATTTGGTCATTTTAATTCTGTTAAGTGCTGCCCTGACACATACCAACCAGTGCTTTTGGGACAAGCATAACACTACTTCACTTTTGCTCTTCCCTTCTTATGGCTGTATCCCTGAGAGGATAAAACGTTCAGGAGTTAGGGAGGAGCTGGCTCCTTTAAGGAGGCTACAACTACCTTGGGTACTGGCCATCAGGATTTATTTTTGTAGGGGTCCCGCATGCAGGTCTGGTAGTTGCCACCTTCAGAATGTGCCCCTGGATCATCTGTTCCTTTTGATCTTGTGAGTCAGCGAGCGCCAGAGGGGCAAGGGGAGGCATGGAGTCATCAACGCTCACGTTGAGGGTATTTGCGTGATTCGGTGTAGCCTATCAATACAAATTGCCTTAGTTTCCAACTGAAGTGTGGGTTTTTTTGTGGTAGAGCTATATGCGGATGGTAAGAGAAAAGAAGCAGCTTATCCGATGGTGGATTATTTCATTTAGGGAATCTCTTTGTACTGACGCCAGGGGAAGAGGATTAGTGGTGACCTGTAATGGGTATGGTAAGGAAAAAGCTCCAGAGATTGCTACAGCTGCTGTTGCTGCTCTTGGATGCTGAGCCTTTCTCAGTGGCATGGTCCCCTCCTATTTTTCTGTCACATGATGTTGATGTATTTCGTAGCAAATAGCAATCGCACCTGACGTGATGTGGCCATTAGTGCTCATCAAGGGCGGGAGGCCTGGCATTCTTTTTAGGTGGGGTTTGTCTTTTGTTTCTAGTTTTCTCTGTAAAATTAGCCACATTTAGGTGTTGTTTTTTTTTCTTTAAGCCCACCCAAGCCTCGTGACTTTTCCCAAATGAAATTGAAAGCATTGGTTCATATATACCCTTCTTGTTCTGCTCAGAGAAGGATAATTGCCTAGTGAGTGTGCATTGACTTAGCTACTGTTAGTTTTCAGTGCCTTTTTTTTTTTAAATACCTTTTAAGTACAGCATAAGTAATGGGATCTGACACTAGAAAATTGTCTGGGTGGCCTGATTTGTCTTCATGCTTAATGTCTACCTTTGACTTGTATTCAAAGTTCAAGCTGAAGTCTGTGGTTGAAAATTACAAAGATGTTTTCCAGGAGCTGAAGTCTAGCGGCTGAGATGGTGACAAGAGATTGTAGTATTTAGATTTGACTATCTGAACAGGATATGCTTAGTGAAGAGTTTTTCCTGAGTTTTAGTTTTTGTTTGTCCTGTTACAGTTAACTGCCCGTTATTCATGCAGACTCTTCTGAAGGGGTGAGTTGAGTGTTATCTCTACAAAAAGGGGCAGATAAGCTGTGTTCGTTGTAGGAGTTGATTCATAAGAAGTGTAAATCGGTGTGGATAGTTACAGCTGATGCAACTGGTTCTATGGAAGCCAGCGAAGTTGCACCGGTTCATGTCAGAGGAAAATCCCTCTCCCAGACCCGTGATGCTCTCCTGTATTGCTGGATAAGGTGGGCTTATCTGCTTCTTCTACTGTGTGTGGCCATCTCTGCAGAAAGCACTGTGAAATTGGCAGGAGCACCCATCAGTACTAGACCACATAGGAGCAGTGTCAGGCAAGGAGTTAGATGGTTTCGTGTAAGTATGTGTTTATATAGGACACAGCAGCAAGGTAGCCCTTTGAGCTGTTTTCCAGGGAGGTGTATTTTCAGGGAGGACTGATGAGAAGCCCTGTCTGTCCCTTGCAGGACTCTGCGTGAGGTGGAGAACGTGAGCTGTTCCCGTGTGAGATAGGAACGAAGACAGGCGTTGCTGTCCTTATCACTTCGTTGTGCAGTCTTCTACATCTGTTATTTAGTCTGTGGTCATTCTCTCAATGTTTCGGATGATATAAAGAGGCTACTGTTTTTATTCATAAAGCAGTGGTTGAAAAGTTCACAAAAACAACCACCTTATTTTTCTTCTCTTCTGCTTCCCACCCCTTCTCTCTCACACGCCCCTAGCAGCCATGGGCCTTCATTTTGCGTGGCCCGGAGTTGCAGTTACTGAAGGCAGTGTGAGATGACACAGCTGAAAGTTCCCAGCCGTAGTCTAGTGCCGAAGTATTAGTCAGCACGGCATGAAGATTCACTTCTTTCCAGGTAGCTTTCACCCATAGTAATGTTTCTTGCTTCTAGAATGACTAGGACAACAGGGGTAACATCTGTCCTTGGTTGCACGGTGTCCTAATTTCCTATCTAGCATACAACGTTGCTTCATGATGCACAAATGCACACTTCTGGATTTTTCCTTCTTTGCCGACAACAATCTAAGAAGCCTTGTTTTTGCAGCCCCCAGCGTTTCTTGGTATCTTTAATTTATAACGTCTAACCTTAATGACTGTGACTGGAATTTAAGCTTTTATCCTCTCTTGAGAGCATATATTTGATGCAGAAATAATGTCCTGGAGTCTAAAATGCTGTAGTCTACAGTAGTGGTGGCGTGATTTGAGGTTTGTGCTGCAGATAGGAAATACCAGACAGCCATTAAAAAATATCAGAAAGGCTTTTTTAATTTTTTTAAGCTTTAGTTGAGGGAGCTGGCTGCAGGGATCTGGTAGGTGAAATGTGTTCATAACTTGACTGTCTTTTGCTTTAGAGCATGTTCTTTCTTTGCAGAATTTTGCCCTTAGCAATGGCCTCTGGAGCTCCCTGGAGCAGCTACAGGCTTCTGATTCCTAACCTGGCGTGGTGGCTTTTGGGCTGCACTTTTAGCAGAGTCATCAAGTGTGCTTAAAATAATGAATTGGTCCATGAAACCACGAGTCTTGTGCATGTGGAAAGGGAAAGCAGAATGCTGCAAGGGTTCTTTTCCCTACTTGATACCCTGACACTGAGACTGCCCTGCTGATTTTTTGCTGTCTTCGTAGGGATGTCGAATTTGTACAAATGAAGAGGGAAGGAGAGGGGAGAAAGCTGTCTGAGCTTATCTCTGCAAAACTTACAGGTGCCTGTTTGTACCAGACCAAAGAAAACCATTTTCTTGCCCAGCTGGTGTTGTCAAGCAGCCCTTAATTTGTAAGCAGTTCAGGGCACAACCAGGGTCCCAGAGATGCGGTCTTTGGCAGAATTGAGCCCCGTTGGTTAGAGCTGAAGTGACACCTCAGGGAGAGAGGGATCGCCCGGCGATGCTGAGAGGGAGGAATGTTTGCACAAACCGAAGCTGCGGGGAGAGCGAGAAGGGCTGCAGCCTTTCTGTTTTCCTCAGGGCTAGGTAAATAATGGCGGCGTTTTCCGCGGCGGCGTTTTTATCGGATGAAAGCCCTGGAGTTAGGGCAGCTCAGGAGCTACTTTGCAGGGCCCTTCTGCTGGCCTGCTAACCTCTGCCTGGTAAGCTGGGTCGCCTTTCAGCAGGAAGGCTGCCGAGGAGCGGAGGCTGGGGCGATAATCCCCCGATGAAAAGTCCTTCATGACTGTCGGAACTTCGCGGCTGCCGGACGGAGCGAAATGGGTGGAGTTTTCCCTTTAAATAGCAGCGCCCGAGAGACTGTTGCCGCTGTTGTGGTGACACTTGGGTGTTGCTAAGGCTTTAGGAAGTCAGCGCTGACATATCTGTATCGGTGGTATGCTCTGCATGCACCAGAGCAAAAATGGATGGGACAGTGTCACCGCCACAGTTTTGGCCTCTTCAAAGGATGTGGGTGTGGGTCAGAGCCTTCAGGTGGCAGAGAATGGAATTCTTGGCCAGAAAGTGTGTGTTCAGTTTGCCGGGTTTTTTTTTTTTTCCATGTCCTTAGTGCTGTTCCCAAGTTGGGAGGGTTATGAGAGGGTGGGAGGGGTGGTGTCACCTGCCTGTGTGTGTGCATGCACGTGTGTGTCCTCAGGCTGCACAGGCTGGTCCTCGGGCTGACCTTGAAACTCCCCCGTTAAAGAAAGTCCTGTAACCGAGACCCTTGTAGGCTTATGGGAGTGCTGGGGAGAGCAGGTGGATTTAGGAGAGAAACATACATCTCGAGGACTTTCATCAGTTCTCTTTCTATGAATACACAACTGGCTGGTTGCAGTGATTTCCCCTGTCAAAGAGCCCCACGGTGCTGCAGCCCCGACTTGCATGGCTTTGCACTTCAAAAAGACTCGAAGGATGTAATTTTGCAGTGCTTTTCCCAGCTTGCTTAGCAACTTTAGGCAAATCACCTTTTCTGCAGGAGGTTTCATCACTAGTTAAATGAGGGTAACTCTTACCCTGCCGCAGGGAGGCAGGGGGAGGGGTGCGTTGCAAGGCCCGCTTAGTATGTGCGAACCACTTTTGCTATCCTTGGAGAGCATCCATGATGTGAGAGTCTGCATGATTAACGACAGCAGGCTGTCAATGCATGTTCCCAAAGCACAGCGCACCTAGAGCTGTGTAGCTCGAGAAGGTTGCAAAGAGGCACAAAATGCTGTCAGTGCTTTTTAGATTGCCTTTGACAATAGTCTGCTAAAGTAGTATGTTCCATCCTGTATGCAAATTGAACTTTGTCAAATTGTCTTACCACAAGATATCTATATTTGATACTATATTTCTTTCTCGCAGATTCTGCCTGGCTTGTTCATTGGCAACTTTAAAGGTAAGATTAGTTTTATCACTATCTCTAGGATTACTTAGCAGGGGTCTTAAGGTGTTGTTTTGCAGGCCTATGGAATTCTCTGATGTCTCTGCAGCTTCTTTAACCCCATCTCGCTTCATTTCTGGATTCACCTGGTAGCACTTTCAGAAGAACTTGTTTGCTCTCTCATCCGTGTGCTGTGCTACAAGTACTCTAAGAAAAATGAACGCCATCTCCTTGGAGCATGCTGCGGCTGGAATTCCTAAACATTGGCCTGCCTTAAACGGTTCCTGTGCTTGGCAGGCAAGCCTGTGAGCTGGGCAGATTCTTTGTAAGGCTTATTTCAAGTCCTCCTTATAAGTAAAGGCTTAGTATGCCTTCTGTTCATTGCTTTCATTATTTTGGTTATTTATAACAACTGCTAAAGAGTTCTGTTATCACTGCTCGTGAGACTGATAGGTCTGCAGATTGCTGTCTGACCACTGATACTTGCACTGTCATGGATGTAAGATTCGCTGGATTTTTTTTTTACTTTTTGAATGACGTTTATTTTTTAGGTGCAGAAAGACAGAACCATATTTAGAAAACACAGGAAACTTTATGTAGACATCCAAATAAATGACCTGTTCTCAAAGCACTCAGTTAGCAGCAGTTTCAGCTGACTGTCCCTACTCAGAAGTAAACCCATTGTGCCTGTACAGTCATTTTGATAGATGTAGATGCTCTATTGCTTATGCTTGGGTACAACAGCAAAGCAGGACCTGTAGGGGCTACTGTGTTATCCTCTCCTTCCTGGTCTAATATCATAGCTAGTCTGTTAAGATTGGAGAAGGTCTGCATTGGATTTAGATGGTGCTGCACCTCCTCTTTGCCTTGTGCCCATGCTTCCTTCCCCACCCTTTCATCCCAAAACCTGTGTGTTCAGTGGGTTATGCCTGATTTAATGGCCTCTGGACCTGCTGAACTATGTTGCTGATCACCTTGAGTGGCAGCCTGGAGGTATGTGTGAAGTTAAAAGCTGCCTTTTGCTACACTGGGATACAAAGACAAGAGGGAGTTAATCATGCCATGGTAAGGAAAATGAGAGGACGGAAGCGAGTTTCTACTGATGAAAGTAGGTAATGAAAGGAGGAAAAAAGGAAAATAAGGGGAAGAGGGTAGTTTTGAAAACACTTTAGATGGACCACTGCGTGGGCCAGTGAGATAACTAACTTAGTCACAGCCATGTTGCTTCCTCTTTTTGTTTAATTTCCTGTCGAGTAATTTAGGAAAGGGGTGGGATGGGAGGATGTTTGATAGGGGAGTCCTTTAGGTTTCAAGCTGTGTGGCAGGGTGAGCAGGATGGGCCCAGGGAACATGGCTCTCCATCTGCCCCTCTCGCTCTGGCTATCCTGCTGGTGAGCCCTTGATGGTCTGCCCAGGGGTGCGAGACTCAGCCAGAGCATCCGTTCCGTGGTGCAGTTCTGTTTTCAGCTGATGGCCCGTTTGACCAGCTGAGGGGAGTTGGCGAAGGTTGCGGAGTGAGTCAGCATCGCTGCCCATGCTGCTCCTGTGCACGGTGCTGAGGCGTGCAGGCGAAGGTGGTGTGAGTGGGCAGTGTTTCTGGGAGTCCAGCTGGAAAAAAAAAAGCTGAGGTTGAAATGGTTCAGCTACCTCCGTGAAAGAGTAAAGATGGGTTGGTTTTAACCTCGGTGTTATGGAGTCTATTTTTTAAATTGATTAAAAACACAAGCGAAATGTTTGTTTGTTTATTGCTATGACCTTTGCTCGCACTGTGTTTAATCATTATGTTCTACCATCATGAGTATCTGTTGTTATAACCTCAAATTAGCCACTGTACCTGCAGTGGAAGAGAGAAGATTGGCCTTGAGCAACCTGCTCTAGTGGGAGGTGTCCCTGCCCATGGCAGGGGGGTTGGAACTTGGTGATCTTTGAGGTCCCTTCCAACCCTAACCATTCTATGATTCTATGATTACAATATTTCACTAATACAAAGGCAAACTTTTACAGTTCTGTCTTTCTGCATTCCCTGTCCCTCAACACCACCCCCCCCACCACCTCGCTGCTTAAGAGCAATTGCAGCAAGCTCTCTGTGCAGTGAACTCATCCCATTAAGGAACAGGCTGTTGGTTAATCACCAGTGTATTTTTCTGGAAGAGTTTGATTGCCATGTTCTTTGGGCATATTCTGTTTTGTGGCACTTTTTCAAAAAGTGACTAATGAATTTTCAGACTGCCATATAGGGGATCATTGACTGAGAAATACTCAGCAGCATATACAGTTGGTTAGAGAATCCTGATTTGGGCAGCTGAAAAGTCTAGATACTTTTAAAGACATGGGTTTACAAAATTATTTCCTATAATGCATTTTTGAGCAGTCTCCTGCTTCTTCAGCTTGAGACCAATAGCTTGAATTGAATAAAGCTGCAGTTTGTCAGTAAGTGGAGTAACACTGAATCCCTGGTGTTGTGCATCACACCCAGACACAGGGCTGAGATGTCGTGGCACCCACCGAGGCTCTCTGCAGAGGGTGGAGAGGAGGGAGCTTCTCCAGAAGGTGAGCCAGGGGAATCTCTGCATCGCTCTGATCTGCCCTCTGGAGGTTAGCATCCTCTCCTTTCTTCAGGGAGCCTGGGCAGGCAGGGTTTCCATAGCTAGGTCGAAATACCCTTCTGTGTACGCTCCTGTCTCCCTGCTGCGTTGAAGACCTCTGGAGACACTGACAGAGTGGGAAGAGGCACAGTTATTGCAGCTGGGTGCCTTCCTGCTCAGTGAAAGCAGGATGTTAAAGATGTTCAACACTAATCCTGGAGAGCTGTTGTCTGGAGAAGGCATTCAGCAATTGTTCCGACTGGGGAATTATTACTCCATATTCAGCAGTATTTCTACTTTATCTATAGGATTTCTTACTGTCTTTTTAGGCCTTATCAATTTTAAAACAATCCATGACAGAAGTGCAAACTCCTCTGTGTTTCACTGGGAAATAAACTGAAGCCTAAGAAAAGCCTGAGAAATAAGTCTGTAGCAAAAATGAGAGTTGAGTTTGCGACTTCTGGTTTGTCTGCTGCTACTGTGCAAACCTTTAGGCACTTAGAATGAGAGGGGCTTTTGTAACCTACTTAAGGTCTTTAGGGTAGAAAGTTATGTGTAGTCTTGATTGTGGAAAGCACTGAAGTACATGCTGAAATCCCCCTAAGTCCGCAGGACTTCAGTATGTCTCTGGAAAACTTCCCTGAAAAAGCATAGATCTTGGCATGTGCTTAAGTGCTTGTTACCTTACAAGATCTATAAGTATGATTCTGTTCATCAGTAGCACATTAAAATTGTAATATGCTCCTGAGAGAGTGTATTTGAGATTGCACAGCTAGAGGGCAGAAAAATTCAAGAAGAACCACAGATGTCCATTTGAAGTACCAAGGCTGAGTTTGGTTTGAAAGCCCAGACGGAAACGGAGCTCTTGCGCTTCTTCAGTGAAAATTAAGGACAAGTTATTTCTTTGCAAATGGGAGTGCAGGGGGGCTAAGAGAGAAAAATGAGGGAAGAGAAAGAGGAAGTTAGCTCTTCTCTCTGCCTCTAGTTTGGGGGGAATTTTAGTTTGTTCCATTTGTACCTTACAGATGAAATCCAATTCTCTCAAAAGACAAAGAATTTATTGTGGGATTGTATGCCCATGTCTTTTGCACTGGAAACCTGATGTCCCTTGAAAGGCGCCTATACTCGCAATGAAAATAGGTGCTTTGTTCCTTAAGAGACTGATATGACAGGACTTTTTAGCCTGTTTTTCTGCACAAACAGAAAAAAACACTGTTTCTTCTGATAGGAGGCTCTAAATGAGGGCTTGTTTGGTTCCAAACCAAAAGGCATAGAAGTAGCACACACCAGAGACTCAAGAGTGTTTCTACCTTGAATATTAAAGAGCTTGTGTCCTTCCTTGCTTATAAACATATTTGGAAGATTCAAGTTTTTCCAATGGAATATTTAGGGGCTTTTTGATTTGAAGGGGAAAGCCACAATATGAGGCTTAATTCCCCCCAAAGAGTCCAGTGTTGCCGTGGATGAGCTGGAGAGTCTTGGGAAAGTTTCTGCCATTCTTCCTGTTACCAAGTGTATGAAAAGGTGGTGCCCACCAGGTGGTTCTCCTTTGTTTCTAGATCCAATTAATTTGTTACCAGCTGCTTCATTTTGGAGGGGGGTGGGTGAAGTTCCATTTTCTAAGGCTTTATTTCAGATACTGAGAACTGGATGGGGTGAAGATACCATTGATTTTTTTCAGGTTCATCTTTTGAAGGAAGACATTTTATAGGTACTCACGTTAAACGGGCCTGGACCCTTTCACCTGCCTTTCTCACTGCCTGAAAGGTCCTTCTGAGAGGCTGGGACAAACTATGTACTAGAGCATAGTGTGAAGTGGGGACAGGAGATGTGGAGTTTTTGTTTTTGTGCTTAGTTTTCTGTGTGTATGTCCCCCTGGTAAGTGCAGATCACTGGACTCTGGAACAAAGCTCTCCTGATGGGAAACCGTTCTCAGTAATAGCTCGTAGTGCTCTGAACCACTGGAGAGGAGGTTCTCCTTTAGGTGTCTATGTCTAGTTCTCTCCAAAACAGAAAATAAAGTGTAGACAAAAATAAATAAATCTAGTGATGATGAAACTGTAATCTCTGTACCTCTGCATATTGACACATAATACTGTTTTACATACTGGGCTGACTTGCTTTCTCTAAGCACTCACCTTATTTTTGTATACACAACCTAAAATTTCATACTGAAAATTTAATACTTACTAATTTACTGTTTTCTAGAGGCACGTCTGCCTTTTCAGAGTAACAACAAAGTCAGAAATGTGGACTTTGGAGGAGGAAGAAGGAAGGATGTCTTTAGTTTGGGATAGCTGGCTAATGGGAGGAAAGGTGACAAAGTGAAAATAAACGAATCTCATTTTGTGGAGACACTTAGTCTTCTAATTTCATGAGTGAGTTGCAGTTAAATGTTGTCAGTCAGGCCCATATTGCTGTAATGCTTTTTCCCCCTGTTCCTGGCAGGATGCTTTTTTATTTTGTTGCTAGCAGCAGAGGTGGAAAACTCTACATCTGTTTCTTGCCATCTAACAATACAAAGGGAGAAGTTTTTATTCCTCACCTTGCATCTTTATGAAGGTACTAAAGTAAGGAGAATGGTTGTATGTACATTTGAGACTTCATCACCCCAGTGTTGGAGTCCTTCAATCATGTGTCTTCCTCAGAGTGGCTGGAGCAGTATTGTCCCCCTTTTGTACTGCCACACAGTGTGTAGTTCTGATACACGCACCTTCACCCCTCCACTCCCCCACACACCCTCCCCGGTCCCATTTTGGTGACTTTACCATTGCTTTTGCAATTGTTTGCAGCTCTCTGCGTATGAGTAGAGGTTGAGCTAAGAACTATAAAATGAAATTGAAGGAGAAGCAGCTAAATATGGGCATAGGAGGGAGAGAGGAAGGCTTCCCCAGTGTGAGTTGTGTCCTTTTCTGTGAGGAGAGTGTTTCCTGAAGGCTTTACAGAAAAGTCCATATCGGCTGAGAAGCATTTTGCTGTATTAAATGGAATATTAGGTAACCTACTGTGAATAGTAATAGCACATTTGAGGGAACCTTTACGGATGCACAAGATAGACTCTGATACGTTTCTTTCATCTTTATATTTGGAAATGGGGTGTTTCACACTGTGATTTCAAAATGTGAACCTGCATGTGGTTGCACAGCGCTGTGGTACAGTAAAGTTGGAGTTGCTGTGGTAATTGTGATTCTTCTGGCTTACATAACCCCTTAATTTTTTTTTTTTTTTTTTT